TAACCAACCTGGACAGGGAATCCTGCTTCCTGCTTGTGTCAATACGGCAGCCCCTGTGGTCTCTAACCAGGTGACACCTGCCATTACTGAAGGGGCTAGCAAATGCACTCTCCTGCTGAGTGTTAACTTGCCAGGAGCGTGGGGCTGGCTGCCTACCACCTCCACACACTGCGAGGGCCCTGAGGAACTAATGTGGCCGTTCTCTTTTTATCACCAGTTTCTGATTTGTGGATTCACGCAGTCATTGCTCTTAAGTGACGCTGGCTCAATCCTGGCCACTGCCACCAACTGGGATGAACTCGAAATTCAAGAGGAAACGGAGTCCGGCAGCAGTGTCACATCTAAGATACGCCTCCCCACGCAAGTGAGTCCGTCCCACTGTCACGGGTACTTGGGCTGCAGAAGGGGAACAAACTGTTCTGGGGAAGCAGGGTGGCTCTAGAAAGCCATTTCCATACGTACCTTCTGAGGAACAGCTGGGCGCTTTGGGTAGATGCTCAAGTGGCGACGTCAAGGTGAGTACCCCGTGTGAGGGCTGCGTGTGGCTTGCTCAGTGCACTTAACAACGTGTTGTTCTCATCTTTCAGCCGTCCTGGTATGTCCAGTCCTTCCTGTTTAGCTTATGCCAGGAAGTTAATCGGGTTGGAGGCCATGCCTTGCCAAAGGTGACCCTGCAGGAGATGCTGAAGACCTGCATGGCCCAAGTCATAGCTGCCTATGAGCAACTCACAGAGGAACAACAGGTAAAGGTAGGTATCCAAATGTTTTCCCAAACAAACACCTTGTTCTCGGATTTGGGTGGTTCGTATGAAGAGCACAGAATGGTATCATCGCCCAAGCCAGGTCCCGGTCCCATAAATGTGCTCTGTTGTGTTAGGAGAGGCATTCAGCTCTGCAAGTTGACCCGATCTCGGGTTCAAATTGATCACCCTGAAGGTCAGGACTGGTGGACAGGGTAAAAGCTTTCACAGTACAAACAGCTAAGCTTTGGCACCATGCAGGCTCTGGGCAGGTCTAACCCCTTCATCTACTCAGGATCAAATGTAAGCAGCAGATGAGCCGCTCAGCTGGATGCAGCCCTTCCATGCTGGCTGCCAGGTGAGATGGAGGAAGCAGGAAGCTATGGCACCGAGGTTCGCTTTAGGATGGGAGGAGGCCCAGCCTCTCAGCCTCCACTGCACCTGTGCCCTTGACCCTTGACTTGCCCTATGGTTTCATTGGGAACTTTTAAAGGCTTGGCTTGAGCGAATTCAGTGGTCTTCACTCCTGGGCCTCAGAGCTCACATACATCTCCAGGCAAGAATCCTTGCCCCTTTGTGATGGCCACAGCCCAGAGCCTGTTTTTAAGGGCTGGGTCTCTGAGATTTTTAAGACCAGAGTTCTGTATTTAACACTTTGAGACTAACCTGGCCCTGTGGGTGTCAACAGCACCTTCTGAAACTGTACCAAGCTGTAACACAAGCATAACCTGCAGCTGCTCTTGGAACATGTGAGGAATCACCCCCTCACCAGCCAGCCTTCACTTGCAGAAAGAAGGGACATGTGCGATGACCCAGAACCGAGCCCTGCAGCTCCTCTATGACCTGCGTTACCTCAACATCGTTCTGACCAGCAAGGGAGAGGAGGTGAAGAGTGCCCGGAGCAAGCCAGACTCCAGGTGACCATTCCTACTGGGCACCTCCAAGCAACCTCTTCCTAATGCAGTTAATGGACAGTACACTTAAAAGGGTTCCTCTAGGGATTTCCCCATTTTACAGTGGTAGGAGAGCACAGCGTTCATTAGAAACCATACTTCAAGTCCAGGAAATAGATCTTTGTCTGGGCCAGCAGTAAACCACATCTTGCACTGTGCATAATATCTCTATAAGCTGCACAGGTGGTGTACACCTTTAATCCCAGCACTTGGAAGGCAGTGGCAGGCAGATCTCTGAGTTCAAGGCCAGCCTGGTCTATGGAGCAAGTTTCAGGACAGCCAGGACTACACACAGAGAAACCCTGTCTTGGGGAGGCAGGGGTCTATGAGCTGAGCACATCTCACACTGTTGTGTCCTATACTATTAAGCTGTGGTCCAACACCATCTTACAGTAGTCTGTATGCTGATGTATGACAACAGTTTAAGCTGAGGACCATCTAAAGCCCCTTTCCCGAAGTCTCCAAAGAAAGCCAGCCATATCCTGTACATTGACTGGTTTCTCTTAAACAGTGAGTCACTGTGTAACTGGTGGTTAAATAATACTTGAATAAATTCCACAGCCAAGTGAGGCAGGCAGAACCTGTTTGGTAAGTGGAAGGCACTGGACTTAGGCATCATGGCAGGCTGATTGTCAAAAGGACACTAAGCAACTCGGCTGGATAGTGCCCACCTCTAGGGTTTCTATGGTAGTAAAATACTGTCAGATCGTTTTCTATCGTGAAGTGTGTGGAGAATAATGTTTCTAACTCTTCTCAGAATCGAGAAAGTGACTGACAGACTGGAGGCCCTCATTGACCCCTTTGACCTGGATGTTTTCACACCACATCTCAACAGCAACCTTAATCGCCTGGTACAGCGGACTTCTGTAAGTTGGGTCACAACCATGCTCAGTGTGACTAGAGATACTTAGTTCAGATCACACTCCAAGCCTGCTCCAGTCCTTCATGCACAGGGATGAGATACAGCCACTTCCTGGAAGAGGATTAGGTAAAATGCCATGGGCTTCAATAGCCATGTTGGAGGTAAGGGTCAGTTAAGTTTATCTGCATGAGCCTCACACAAAGAAATACATGGGTGCCAGGCCCACTGTGGAAGATGTGTGCCACTGACCTGCCACCGAGCTCAGTCCCCAGGACCCTTATGTTACAAGAAAACTGAGTCCAGAAAGTTGTCTTCTGACCTCCAGTGCGCTTGCAAACACACACACAAACACAAACACCGCCCCCCCCCCCCCCAAATGTTTTAGAAAAGAACTACATGGCTTTGGGATTCTCACCCATGGCAGATTAAGGAGTAATTCTTAAAAATCCCAAACAATGGGTAGACAGTGAAGTGACTGTTTCTTGGGGTGACAGGCACTGGGCCCCCTCCCTTTCTTATCTGCAGGTTCTATTCGGATTGGTTACTGGTACAGAGAATCAGTTTGCCTCCCGGAGCAGCACATTCAACTCCCAGGAACCCCATAACATCCTGCCACTGGCCTCCAGTCAGATCAGGTGAGTAGCTCATGAGGCTCTGCCAGGCCGAGGCCCCTGCTCACTTCGCTGACATCGCCTTTCTTGTCTTGAGGTTTGGACTGCTTCCACTGAGCATGACGAGCACAAGGAAGGCAAAGGCCACCAGTAGAGGCGTCGAAACAGAAGCCCAGGTCAGTGCGAAGAGGCTCTCCTGGTTCTTCCAACCCAAACCCCCACCAGCTCTTTTAGAAATAACCAATTAGGCACTGTATGGCAATGCACTAAGGCTGCTTTTAATGGCGGCGCAACAGAGTACAAGGTTTCACTAGCTTGAGCGCATAGAAAGATGCCCATCAGCTTGAGCAAATAGCCTCAAAACAGAAAGGGACCCAGACCCAGACCGTGAAGGACACACAGCACAGGATTGATGGTTTCTTGCATTTTGTAGGGTGAAAAGAGCTGACTGTTCCTGGCAGTCCTGCACTGTGATCAGAGCGTGGGGAGAAGACCCTTTTGTCTTGCAGATGGTCTAATCTGCGCCTTTAGTTGGGTGGGAAATAGGAAGAAACGTGCTTTCTCAAGCATTGTTTTATTAATACATGTTTTGTTTTGGTAGGACGCCATCCATTAAGCCTGCCGGAGCCCTCCTGGGTATTTCTGGATTGTGTTGTGTACATGTGTGCTTGACGGCTTCTCTTATAGCACTGTTTGCCTGACTGTTAGAATTCCAGTAGAGTATCCTTTCCCACGTTCCCTGCCAGCAAACCCAGTAAGACCTAAGTCCTCGGCAAACAGCTGGTTTTAAAATCTGGAAAATGGTTCTAAGAGAAAAAACTTTGTGAACTTCGGGCTTCATGACACTAGTTCCCGTGTCACACAGCTGGTCTTTCCATGCTGTGGCCCTCAGAGGACCGGGCCATGGAAGGTACGCATGTTCACTCTTCCTGGCATGGGCCTCCTTCAGACTGTACTTGTATCACAGAGTGTAACCTCCAGCAAGTCCCTCAGACCTTTCTTACTACAGCCATCCCTGCTCCTCAGTGCTACTGCCTGTGTTGTGTGGCCTCTGAGTGGGGTGCACGGAGGGGGAACAGGCAGGAGGCTGCGGGTGAACACTTAAGGCACTTCCTCTCATCTAATGGCAGGTTGGCCCCCCGGCACTCTCCAGAGTAGGTGACCCAACGCATCCTGGCTCCTTGTTCAGACAGCTGGCCAGTGAGGGAAGACGACTCACCTGCACCTTCCTTATTCAAGCTTGCCTGGCTCTCTAGTATGACAAAGTAGCGTGGAAACAATGCCCAGGCTCTCTAATTAAATACTCCTGCATTATTTTTACTAGATGTGCCTCTGCTTGTGTTTCTACATACCCCAAACTGTCTGGTCCTGATGATGGAGTGTGGCCCCTGGCAGGGCAGGGGTGCTGACAAGCAGGAGTTAAATCCTCCTTCTCTCAGCTATCGGCAGCTCGTGCTTCATGAGCACTGACCACTGCCTTGGTTATGGGCACTGCAAGGGTTAGCAGTTAAGCTGTTAATAGACAAGTTTGTCAGTTACTAGGTATTTCTTGACTTAGAGACTGCTTGTTCTCTGTAGCATCTGAGGTGCAGACTAAAGAGAACAGATACGGAATTGATATTCTCCCTGGAAATACAAACATGTAACAGACCACCACTAGGGAAGGCGCCTGGCCTCATGGTCTTCAAGAGTGGACGGCGGGTTCCGTTCAGGGAGCACTTCCCATGGACGTCTACATACTAAGAGGTAGTATGGCAGTTAACTTCAGTGCAAGACTGAGTCAAGCTTCTTATTTGGGGAGAAAACTTAAATTTTTTTTCCCATGGAAACTAGATATTCTTTACTAGTTTATTGAGTTAAAAAAATTGAAGATCCCACATTTTAAAGAGGCTCTTACAGTACAATGTCTAATTGACAGATGTGGTTTTCAGTCAGAGGGAGACTTCCTCAGACACTGCCATGACATGGACTTGATTGCCCTCTCTCAAAGAATTCTATAAAAAATTGCTCCCAAGCCCTCTGAAATCACAATAGTGCAGGAAAACCCCAAGTAAACAGCTGCCTGCTGACCCAATACTCAAATATAGACTGAAAGCCAACAGGCATTTTTTTCTCTGTGTGCAACTTTTAAAAACAAATCATTAAGTTGAAATATCCAATCTGCACAGTGCTGTCCCTTCACAGAAGGCAAGAAACTGCCGGAGCATCATGTTGGAGGCCGGCCTCGGTGCTGTAGGCTGTGAAAATGGGCCTCCTTCAGGGTCTGATTGATAAGGAAGTACGGGCCTTGGCACAGTGCAGACTGCTCGGGCACCGGCTGGGGGGTGCTGGGGCAGGATCCGGGGATGATCTGGCTCAAGCTGCTCTCTGGCCCACTGGCCCTGTCCGGGCTGTTGATGCTGCTGCTGCTGCTGCTGCTGCTGCTCCCACCACCGTCGCTGCTCGAAGACTGGAAGAGAAGGAAAAGGCCAGGGTCATATCAGCCAGTCTTCCCGCAAAAAGGCTTTACTTGGGCTTAAAATGAGACGCCCTATTAAGAGTCTTCTTTGGCCAGGCGGGCGGTGGCACATGCCTTTAATCCCAGCACTTGGAAGGCAGAGCCAGCTGGATCTCTGTAAGTTCGAGGCCAGCCTGGTCTACAGCGCGAGATCCAGGACAGGCACCAAAACTACACGGAGAAACTCTGTCTCGGGGAAAAAAACAAAAACAAAACAAAACAAAAAAAAGTCTTCTTTGTAATGGCTAAAGAAAATCCCACTGTGAGCCGGGCGGTGATGGCACATACCTTTAATCAGGAGGCAGAGGCAGGTGGATCTCTGTGAGTTTGAGGCCATCCTTGTCTTCAGAGAGTTCCAGGACAGCCAGGGCTACAGAGAAACCCTGTCTCCAAAAACACCACCACCACCAAATAATAATAATAGTAATAATAATCCATTGTGTATGTGTCCCGTGCTTTTACATTCACTCATCTCTTGAACACCTAAGATGACTCCATTTCCTTGCTACTCTGAAGAGAGCAACAATAAACACAATCGTGCAAGTGCTTCTGTGGTAGGATGCCCAGGAGTGGTATCTCTGGGTCATATGGCAAAAAAAAATGAAACGGATCTAAAAATGACGATATTAAGCTATCCCAGACTTTATGTGGACAGTGGGTATAGCTCATGCAACTAGAAAGGGATCATGAGAAGGGAAGAGGTTTTAAGTAGAGTGGACGGTGTAACAGAACACATGAGACATGAAAGCGGGGTAACACGGTATAAGCAGGAGGGGGGAGAGGAGGAACAACCCCCGAAAGTCTATCCTGAAATGCCACAAAGAAACTGGTTACTTCATGCACTCCCAACACTGGGCTTCACACACACAACCAGCCTGTCACGTAGGAAGTACTGGGTCTAATTCCAGCATGGACCTTGACTGCACACCCTTACGTATATCTGATTTCTTCACTTCTCTGCTTTAACCACTTATCCTAACACTCCCAGCAACTAAAGGTGGCTAGTTCTCAGCTTCAAAGTATCAGCTACTGGCTCAGGGGACAGAAAAGGCATGCCCTATCTACAAACTCTTGACAAAGGTAACTGACAACTTGCACAAGAAATAATGTCCTGTAACCGCTTAGGACACACAATACACTTAAAAATTAGCCTGTCTTGCCAGGCAGTGGTGGCGCACGCCTTTAATCCCAGCACTCAGGAGGCAGAGGCAGGCAGATCTCTGAGTTCGAGGCCAGCCTGGGACACAGAGTAAGTTCCAAGAAAGGCGCAAGGCTACACAGAAAAGCCCTGCCTCAATGAATGAATGAATGAATGAATGAATGAACAAATAAAGAATAGGTTTATAAAAGCTTCCAGAGCTATACTTTCCAAGTGACTATTAAGTCCTAGCTCTCGGTACTAATATGCACACAGATAAGTCACCTGAAACAGCCAGAATGCACTGCTCAGAAGCATCTACTGGTACACCTGACACCCACACTTGTCCACAGGATCTGAGCTGTCTAGCACAGGCACATACCCAGTGCTCACAGGTACTGTCTGTGCAATTAAAGTAGAAATAAGAAAAGGAGTATAAGGAAATCAGGCAGCAGGATTGGCTGGAGTTCATTTTCTTTTTCTTTCCCCCCTTGGTTTTTCAAGACAGTTTCTTTGTGGAGCCTTGGCTGTCCTGGAACTCACCTGCAGACTGTCCTGGCCTTGAACTCAGAGGTCCTCCTGAAAGGCGTGCACCACCACCGCCCAGCTGGAGTTAATTTTTTTAAATCTTAAAGCCAATGCCAAAACAAAAAATTTACTCTACAAAGGCCTCTCCTAAGCTACCTTAACAGCCTAGACTGGCTACCTACACTTTGAGAAGGTCATGAATATTTAAGTAGGTCACTACCCTAGATCAGAAACATACCGAGCAAAAAGTTCTGTCTCCTCTTAGTCTGCTTTCTTTACTGTTTTTCGTTACAGGCACTTTCTGAAAATTAAGGCAAGAACTAGAATAAGTCTTTAGTAAAGTCAAAATTGCATGTCAAGTTGTATGTATTTCAAACTGTAACAGTCAAAATGACATTATTCAGAAAAGATGAGAGCTCATTAACAGTATCCATCCAACTAGCTGGTCTTGGTGGGGTTTCTTGGGCTGCACCTTGCATGGGCATCGCCCCTGCCTCAGCTTGCCACTGCTGAGATTATAAGTATATGCCACCACATCCAATGCTCCAGTTCATTTTTTTGCTTCCTAGTTCATTTTTAATTCTTGCAAACCAACTCATGGTGTCATGGGTAAACTGTCTCACAAGCATACATCCAGCTGAACTGGTTAAATTGTAATACATCCATTACATGTATATGTACCACAAAATTATCCTCACCATTACCAGAGATGCCAGAAACTTAAGAAATCACTTTTTCTTTAGACTAAACCCTACATATAATGTATCATCTGGGTTGTTTGTTTTTTGGTTTTTGTTTTTTCTTCTTAGGCTGGCTTAGATGGCTTAGCAAATAAAGGTATTTACTTGCTGCCAAGACTGACAACCTGAATTTGATCTCTGGGTCCCATGTGTTGGAAGAGAACCAATTCCCCTAAAAGTTGTTTTTACCTCCATACACACAAGCTGTAGCTCGAATGTGCACACACATACACAACAAATAAATGTAATAAAAATCACATAAAAATATTTTTCTGGCGGGCTGTGGTGGCGGCATGCCTTTAATCCCAGCACTCAGGAGGTAGAGGCAAGCGGATCTCTGAGTTTGAGGCCAACCTGGTCTACAGATCAAGTTCCAGGGCAGCCAGGGCTACACAGAGAAACCCTGTCTTTTTTTTTTTTTTTTTTTTTTCTTTCCCCATACCCAAGAGTTTTAAGGCAGCACAAATTGGAGTCAATGATTTTTGTTCTGTTTTGTTTTTTCGAGACAGGGTTTCTCTGTGTAGCTCTGGTGCCTTTCCTGGAACTCACCTTGTAGCCGACACTGGTCTCAAACTCAGAGATCCTCCTGCCTCTGCCTCCCGAGTGCTGGGATTAAAGGAGTGTGCCACCACTGCCCGGCTCAATGATTGTTCTAAGAGAAAGAACACAGGTTGGGTGGGTAGGGAAGTGGGGTAGACTTGTGAAGAGTGGGGGAAGAGGGTGATATGATCAAATCACTATAAAATTCTGAAAATTTAACAAATATTTTTGTTTTTTAAAAACCTTTTCTTTGCCATATACATACTATGATACATCAAAAACCAGTCTGGAAGACACTCGTGGCAAGGTGTTTAGAATCTGGATCTTCCACTGTATTTAACTGCTTTCTTTTCCTTTTCTAAAGCCCCCAGGAGCGAGTGTGAGGGTGTGAGGGTGTGTGTGGGTATGAGTGAGTATGTGTGCGCACCACATTCATATAAAAGCCAGGAGGCCAGGAGAGGGCATCTGGTCCCCTGGGACTGGAGTTACATGTAGTTGTCAGCTGCTGTGAATGCTGGGAACTGACCAGGTCTGCAAGGGCAGTAAGCACCACTAAGACCTCTCTCCAGACCCCATTATTTTTATTTTCTAAAAGTTTTAACCAAAAAATATATTTAGAGAGAAAAATAACCATGAGTAAAGTACGTTACTACAAAACAGAGTAAGGTCTTTAGTTACTTCCAACTTCAAGACCGAGACTCTGAAAAAGCTACTGACTGACTGTCAGTCAGACTCTAGGAAGGCTGTTTCACCTTCCACACATAACTACCGAGGACTCTCAGGCTTGTGGCTCTCTCTCCCCGAGGCCTTCCTTCACCCTCCAGAAGGAAATCGGAAATGGACAACTGGTGGAAAGCCCCGTCCGGCAGCTCCCTGGGGGCAGGCAGGCCTGGGCAGTCTCTGAGCACAGTCACAGTGGCCTTGTGCTGTCGGCCCCACTGCCCTCCCAGCCACAGGTGGCTGATGAAGCTGCTCTCGCTTGGTGATGCTAACTTTCAGTATCAGATGGCTGGAAGGAGATGCTCCTATGCGATGGAACACAGTTCAACTGCCACCCTGTCCAGAACTATCCTTGTTACACCTGCATCTGAAAAGACACCAATTCTTTTACCCAAACTGGTTCCCGGCTGTTTGCTAATAACCTCCTCATGGAAGCACTGACCACTCCGAAGAGTCCTGCTTTGAAAACCTGTGGAAACAGGGCAGCCATTATATCCTCCTAACTGCTGGCAGCACGGTGCAGCCAGAAGGGCGCTGTCCTGAACAAAAATTCTGCAGTCACTTGTGGGCTTCTGGTGTACTCAGGCCCACCTGTTATGCAAACCGGATGATATGAGCACGTCACCAGGGCTGCTCAGGCACTTGGTAAATATTTACTGAGCTCAACTGGGAAAAATGGTGGTAATGCATCCACAGACAACCAGAGTCCACAGCTACTGCTGGGAGAGAAGTGCAGTGGTGCATGCTGGGTAAGCATGGGAAAAGCTCCTAACAGTGGCTCCACTGGATGAGGAAAACTTGGAACAGGCAGGAAATGACAAACCAAGAGAATCAGCATAAACTCAAAGCTCATACAGAAGAAGAATGTCTTGAGAGTGACAAGCTCAGTGTGGTACAAGTGGACTGTGTCAGGAGCTGATGAAACAGAAAACCCACAGAGAGGTCATGGCTAGATTACAAGAGCCACTGAGGCACAGCAGAGGTTCCCAACACTCAGGTCATGCTCAGATCTATCCCAGGGAGTTAGGATCCCAGGGCTCTGGTGTATGATGAGATCTGGAGAAACAGAAAAGAGGCCCACTGATGTTTCCTCATAGGCCAAGCAGGAGGCAGGCACAGGGACTGGGAAGTTTTGAAGGTGTGTGTCATACCCAAGAGGGGGACGGGAGGGCTCTGGAGGGAGATGGAGATGCCCAGCTGACTGAGGACACAGGGCATACACTTAAGAGCAGCAGATACCAGGAACCACTTGCTGAATATCAACACTCCCACAGAGTTTAGCAAGGGAAGGAGGAAGGGAAGGTGCCTGAGAAAGTACCACAGGGCTACAGACAAGCAAAGACAGGTGGGGGAGGGGAGGGAAGGGAAGGGAAGGAAGCTGCAGGTGGGTGAGGTAGGAAGGAAGAGGGGCACAGTGGCAGACCAGAGAGGTGCAGGCTCAGAGGTACAAAGATAAGAAGAAAACCCAGCAGATGCCTCTGGGACCCTGGCAAGCTGGTGACAGACAGGAAGACGGCAAAGATCTAGGAACTGCAATGCAGAGAATGAATACACGAAAGAAGGTCATCTTTATTTTCTCAAACTCCTCACCAGAGATGCTGCCCCCCGGGTAGGCTTGCTTGTAATTCTATCTTTACCAGGCTGTGACATTAGTTTAAATAAACGAATGATAACCCCTTTACACCATGGCAGAAACTGAACACCTCTAAGTACTGTTTTCTAGTCATAAGCTTTAGAAAGCAGCCCAAGCAAGCCTATTAACTGTGGAGTCTCTCTGCTTCATAAACTCAGAATGAAGCCAGGTGTGGCAGTCCATGTCTGTAATCCCGGCGCTCTGGAGACGGGAAGACCAGGAGTTTAAGGCCAGCCTGGACCATCTGGGCTATGAGACTCTCAAAAAGCCAACAAAACGAGTACAGGACACAGAGAGATCAAGCTAGAACAAGGATGGAAGCCTCCTCCCTGATGGCCAGCTCTCTCACTGCTGGAGGATGCTATGCAGGCTGCTGAGGGAGAACTCAGTTGTGGACCCTCAATGTTACACTACTGAGCGGCCAGGCAAGAAGTACACACTGCTGCCAACGGCGGCACTGAGTCAGTAAGAAGGTAACCAACCTCGCGGGATGTATTGGAGACCTACTCCAAGGGGTACCACAAATCTGTCCAAAGGCTGGAGGCTGGGGAGGTCCTAGGCCTCAGCAGGGAAGCTAATGGACTCATGTACCCATCCAACTGCCATCTCAATCATGCTGTTTCCACCTACAGATAAGTGCTACGTAAGTCTGGTAAAACACTCGGCCACACGTGGGACTTACACATCATTTCTTCTCTAACATCAAAGGTTGAGAAGGAGAGAATGGAGGAGTCAGAGGAAGGACTGGAGTGAGGTAGAATACCTGTGCAGTCTGGATCTCACAGGATCAGTGTTTACTGGCCAAGACCTGTGCAAGCTCAGACCTGTCTAGCTGGTGAGATGGCTCAGGGGTAAAGGTACTTTATTACCATGCCTAACAACCTGAGTTCAGTAGTCAGGACCCACAGAGTGTAAAGAGAAAACCAACTTCGACAAGTTGTTCACTGTTCTGTGTAAGTATTACACTAAATAAATAAATGTCATTTTTAAAAGTTAAAGATTGGGCCTGTCAACATTCTGTCATGGAGAGAAAGGACCTATGAGCCCCTACCCCAGGACAATGGTAGTTGTGGGGGAGGGAGCTCACAAAGCTTCATCCCTCCCTGAGTATCTATAGTTAATGGCTGCAGGGCAAGGTCCCAACACGTTCTATGGAGCATCCATTGCAAGGAGTCTATGATCCTATAATAACTTCACCCACAATCCTGCAGCAACCCTAATGAAACTCAGTGGGTCATCAAAAATAGTAAACCAAAAAATAATCGAAGACAGGAAAGTATCTGGGTGGGAAGGGAACAGAAAGGGAGAGGAGGAGTCGATATGATAAAGTGCCTTGCATGTATGCATGAGATTGTCATAAGGAAGCCTATTATTATGTATAATTAACATATGCTAACTAAAATAATCAGAACCAGAATGTGTGTGTATTTATCACTGAGAACCACATGCTTCCTCCCTTTATTACAAAGGGAGGAAGGGAGGGCATTTTAGAGTTTTTTTGTTTGGCTGATATTCTGTTTTGTTTTGGAAACAGGGTCTCACTGTGTAGCTCGGGCTGTCCTGAAACTCACTATGTAAACCAGTCTGGAGATCTGCTTGCCTCTGCCTCCTGAGTGCTGACTAGGTGTGTCACACTTTGGCCGATGCTATGCCCATCTAGAAAAAACCATTTTCATCTTTCAGGCCCTAGTTTCTCTTCACCTCCATCTCCACATTCACCAATGCTTTCAATTTACATGAACCTACAAAGAAAACCCTCTCATGGCAATATGATGGCACACTCCTGTAATCCCACAGAGAGAAAGAGAGGCAGAAGGATGAGAAGTCTAAGACCAGCCTTGGCTATCCCAAGAAACTATCTCAAAAAAAAAAAAAAGGTAATTTCAAAAGTTCATTTGTCGCAGAGTTATAAACAACCCTAAATCCTCACACAAGAGTTAGCCAAAACAATGCTGTATTTTAGCAAATACCTACTACTCCCAAAAAGATTCAAGATGGAAAAAATTGAGAGCTTTATTTAGTTGGGCCTTCAGTCCCAGTACTTGAGAGGTGGAGACACGATCACAAAAAGTAAGTTCAAGGCTAGGCTCTGCTACAGTGAGTTCCAGGCCTGAGTGGGCTCTCCTGTCTTAGAAAAACCAACCATGACCAGGGAGATGGTTCCTCCATGGCGGAGAGAACCAACTCCCACAGTTGTCCTCTGACCTAGACACATACACATTAAACATGTAATATGCTAAATAACTGTAATGGTAATTAGTAAATGTAATACTAAATTAGACAATAAATCTAAATTTAAAGCAAAATTAAAAATGATCACTTTGATATTAAACATTTCTAAAATATGCCCCACTGGGAGCTGGAGGAATGCCTCAGCAGCGAAGAACACTGGCTGCTCTTGCAGAGGACCTGGGTTCAGTTCCCAGTAACCACATTGTGGCTCACAACCTTCTGTAACTCTAGTTCCAGGGAAACCTACACCCTCTTCTGACCTCCACAGGCACATAGTGCAGATATACATGCAAGCAAAACACTCCTACACATGAAATGAAAATTAAAAACATCTTTTTAAAAGATTATGCTAGCCAGGCAGTGGTGACGCACGCCTTTAACCCCAGCACTCGAGAGGCAGAAGCAGGAGGATCTCTGTGAGTTCAAGGCCAGCCTGGTCTACAGAGGACAGCCAGGGCTACACAAACCTTGTCTCAGGAAAAAAACAAAATAAAACAAAAACCAAACACAATCAAAACAAAACAAAAAAAGATTATGTTAAACCGGGCTGGGGATATAGCTTAGCAGTATAGCACTTGGCCTGGCATGTGCAAGGCTCTAGGTCCTACATGTAAGTAAATGAATGAATGAATGAATGAACAAGTGAATAAATAAATAAATGCTATATACATCCCCACTGTCGCCTAACCGCTAGTTCTTCTGAGTTACAGCAGTGACTTTGAAACCCTGTGGACCCCCTCCCTGCTTCTGTTATTTTGGGCACACCTCCCTACTCTTACTAAAAACATTCCTGGGGCTTCAGTATTAGCACCAGAATTCCTCTCTTCCTGCAAACGCAAGGAGGCACGTGCTGCTTTAGGAAAGCCACTTGCTGCAGCTCCACATCTTTCCAGTCTATTTCCCATGATCTCTCGGTTCTGGGAAACACTGGTGAGGGGACTCTGCACTCTAAAAAAAGGTACCACTTTCATTTATTCATGTAGAACCTCTGTTTACAGGGCACACACCCGAGTACCAGAAGGCAGGTTTGCATGTGAACATCTAGTGTAATTTATAGACACTAAAGCTATGTGGAAGAGCATCACTCCTACATGTGCACAAGTACAACTCAAACCAGCAAGACTAGCCCCTCTGAGTCTAACTGGCTTGTTAAGTTAACAGAAAAAGAACTCTAAAGTTATTTTAGTATTTCAAGAAATCCCCAGAAATGGTTTTGTTTTGTTTTTTATGTGCATTGGTGTTTTGCCTGCATGTATGTCTGTGTGAGGGTGTTGGAGCCCCTTGAGCTGGAGTTAGACAGTTGTGAGCTGCCATGTGGTTGCTGGGAATTGAACCTGGGTCCTCTGGAGAGCAGCCAGTGCTCTTAACCACTGAACTCTCTCTCCAGCCACAGGAAATGGGTTCTTACCTCACTCTAAAGGAACCAAATCTTGTCGACCCAGCCTTAGAATTAAGAGGTTACTACTTTTATTAAGCCAGTAGTTTAATACATAAATGACAATATTAGTAATTTATTCTTCTCTTTTATATACAATTATTAGAAAGGAACCAAATGTCTCCAAAGCTGTTTTTTCTGTGTTTTTTTTTCTTTTTGAGACAGGTTTTCTTCATGTAGTTTTGCTGTCCTGGATCTCGCTCTGTAGACCAGGCTGGCCTCGAACTCACAAAGATCCACCTAGCTCTGCCTCCTGGGTGCTGGGATTAAAGGCATGTGCCACAGCAGCCCAGTTCCAAAGCTGTGTTTATGCTCCAAACAGAAGCTATTCCAGTGGGGAAGTCAATCACTTGGGCTTCACTTCCCACTTTAGAAGACCCTCTGCCTCTCCAGGTCACTCACCACCCCAGCCCAGAGCAGCTCAGCACAGCACAGAAGCCTCTGTCCAGCAAACAACACTGAAAGTAATGGTTAAGATGCCAAGCTGGGCGAGCTGCCATGTTACAGCGGCCTTAAGCTGTAATGAGGACCAGCTAGTCCACACTTCAGACTGCTGCTTCCAACTGGTTCAACAGTGGAACTTCTCTGGACGAGTAAGAAAAAGATATGCGACCCAACAGTTCAGTCACAGGCCACCATTTTCTTCTGGGACACCAATGCATGGATGGTAGAAACTGAGTCAAGGGTATTTTCTACAAACTACAAGTAAGCAATATATCCTGGCATGGTGGTTCACACTTTTAACCTCAGCACTTGAGAGGTAAAGGCAGGTAGAATCTCTTCAAGTTCAAGGCCAGCTTGGTCTACATAGCAAGTTCCAGGATAACAACAGCTACAGGGAGAGACCCTATCCACCCCCACCCAAAACACACAAACACACACAAAAACAAAACAAAAAACCCCAATACTAAAATGCATGTGCTTAAACTAAGAAAACAGAGGGGCCTGAGACATGGCCCAGCAGTTAAAAGTGCTTACTACTCTTTTAGAGGGCCCAGGGTTTGGTTCCCAGCATCAACATTAGGTTGCTCACAAGCACTCCTATCTAATTCTAGGGGAGCTGGTGCGCTCCAACCTCTGCAGGCACTTCCAATCATGTGGTGTACATAAACTCACACAGGCACACACATATACGTAAGTAAAAAATAAAGAAGACAGCCGGGCGGTGGTGGTGCACGCCTTTAATCCCAGCACTCGGGAGACAGAGGCAGGCGGATTCTGTGAGTTCGAGGACAGCCTGGTCTACAGAGTGAGTTCCAGGACAGCCAGGGCTATTACACAGAGAAACCCTGTCTTAAAAAAACAAAACAAAAACAAAAAAAATATTAAAAAGAAAAGAAAAAGGACAAAACCAGGTCCAGTGAGACAGCTCAGCAGGCGAAGGCAATTGCCCCAAGTCTGATAACTGATTTGATTCTTAAGCTCCACAGTGGAGGGAGAGAACTGACCGATGCCTCTGTGTAGGTCGACCCCTGCCTTCCACAGTGCTCACCCCCAGAACACCACACACACACACACACACACACACACACACACACACACACACACACACACACACACACACACGAAGATAAGTAAAGATAATCTTTTAATCTTTAAAAAGGGAACCAATTTTTAAGTCAAAAAAGGCGACTTTTTTTAATCCTGTTCTAACGCATCAAAACCACAGACAGAATGGCGGCAAGTCCGTGGCTGTTACTGCTTAACTTAAGATGCTCACGGCATACTCTGATCTCTGGTTTCCTTCATCTCCAGGATTCCACAATCATCCCATTCAACAAGAGCTCAACAGCTTTTTGGCTAAACACTTTGTGGTTTTGTTTTTGAGACAAGGTTTCTCTGTGGCTGTCCTGGAACTCACTCTGAGACCAGGCTGGCCTTGAACTCCCAGAATTCACCTGCCTCTGTCTCTGAAGTGCTGGGATTAAAGGTCTGCGCCATCACCACCCAAGCAGGTTAAACACTTTTTCAAAAAAGAAAAAAGGAGACTAAGATTTTTAAAGAAATGCTATCAGAACTCCAGTCTACTCATGTCAGGAACACACTGTAGATTAACTGGTCCTGAAACATGAAGGGCAGTGTCCCCTCATTGGTGACTTTGGACTGGTGGTTCAGTCTAGATACAAGAAAATCCTACTAGTGGGAACCAAATCAGCAGGATCTGTGTGTGTAAAGACCCTACTGTCTGTCACTATAGCATGACAACTGTCAGGGGCCACAATGTATAGGCATGATTTACCCTCAGCACTTCAACCTTGAGTTCTGTTCCCAGCCTTATCAATTCCCAACTGCACCAAAAATGTTCCCACAGCAGAGCACTCTTTCTAGAAAACAAAAGTTGCAAAGAACTCTGAGAGTGTGATCCCCACCTCTACCACACTCTCTACACCTCCCAACTTTGTGGATGAACACTTTCTAGAACACACTGAAGAATGAAAACCCTTTAAAAGGGGATCTGTGCCAGGACTTTAATCCCAGGACAAAAAGGGATCTGTGTACACACACTGTACACACTCTGCTGCTTACAACTGCTATTGAATCAAGTAACAAATATGTCTCCCCTGAGGACAATTACAGTTCATGAGCTACCAGGAAATGGGTTGTGGAAATAAAATTAGAGGATTCAAAGGGGTTTCCGAGGTCCATGAAACTACTATAGATGGGTGGGGGTGTGTGAAAATGAACACGTACACACTGCTTACCTGGCAGGGCAGCCACCACTCCTCAAAGAGGATTTGCTTCAAGGAGCAATACAGGCCCGGGGTGACCCTAGCACTAAGGAGGGAAGACAGCCGCAAACTTGAGGCCAACCAGGTTTGACTTCCAGGCTAGCCACGACTACTCATCAAAACTCTGCCTCAAAATGAGACAAGTAAGCATCATGGATGGAAACGACCAATCAAGGCAGGGGAGGTACTCTCTGAACAAATGAACTCCTATCAATTATGCAATGGAGAGCAGGCCATGCAGCTGAGCCTGTGGTCACCTGCCTACCTCTGTGTCCCAGGAGTCCTGGAAGATGGGGTTCCTACTGCTCCTTTTGGTCTGGGGTGGGAGGTGGCTGTCGTCATCACTGCCATTTCTTCTCCTTTTCCTGAAATGTAAACACAAGAGGAAAAATAACCAGTTACGGAGCTCGTAGACACAATGAAAAACCACAACAACCTACAAAATTTACCCTCTAGCCTAAAAAACTAGTCCACCACGACATCCCAGTGGGAGGAATTCTAGCATTCCAGTACTGGGCACTAAGCAGAGACAGCTAGTAAGGCCAAGCCTTACAGGGAAAGGAACGGAGTGACAAGAGACTCAGTTTCCCCTCGCCGCATCCCCTGAAATTTATAATTCCAAATCTCCACTTGCCCCACAGAACACTGAAGTGGGGACGTTGACTGCCTGTTTGCCCTGAAATACACACAAGATGGAATCACACAGGCGAGAGGTTCTAATGCTCTGCTCGTGGGGGTGGAGGAGGTGTCCATTCCTTTGCTTAGGCCACACCACCGGCGCTGTACGTCACTGCAGTGGGCTATCGCTCAGTGACAGATATGCTGGTTAAGACTGCCAGGTTAAAGCGGGGAAACAAATCACATCTTTCTCTAGCAAGTGTTCTCAGTCTGAGAGAGTGTATGTTTATTTAGACTATCTACAAGAATTAGGGGCTATCAGAAGGATTTTAATCCCAAACTAGAAAACAGGAATAAATGAAAGGAGGAACAGCTCTCTGACCACCTGCCTGGAACACCGTGACCAAAATGGCAGCCACAAATAATGTGGCCATTTACATTTAAAGAAACCAAATTTTAAAATCCATATATCCTGCGGGGATGATGGCTTGCACTTCTGATCCCAGAACTCTGTTCTGTACAGTGAGTTCCAGGCTAACAAGGAAAGACTGTCTCAATAAAGCAAAATTATTAACTTAAAAAAATAAAAAAATCCAGTTATTGCCAGGCATAGTGACTATGCCTATAATGCCAGCATGCAGGGAACTAAGGCAGGAGAATCACTGCACATGAGGCCAGCCTGGGCTACACTGAGTTTCAGATCAGCCTAGCCACAATGTGAAGCCTTATCTGATTACACTGAAGAGCATAGTCCCTTCACTACAGAAGCTCTACTGGAGTCACCATATGCAGCTTTGGCTAAACAGAGTGCCAGGACTACCTAACTACCAACATACAGAGAACAGCCAATGTACAAACAATTTGTGCCCAACCCCGTGACCAACTCTGACCAGACAACACCTCCTTCAGGTTACCTCACGCAGCTACCCCAGACTCAGCCATGCTGCCTACTACCTTCCCAGCCATATTGTTCAACTAAGACCAAGTACTCACTGGACCACTCAGGGCGCCAGGCCTCACTCCTCCCAAGATCTGCCTAATATACCAGCCCCCAGCTGCTCCTGTACCAGCCTTCTTCAGTACTGAAGCCAGCTTCCTCACAGGCTGAGTCACGGCAACCCAATGTGCTCCTAGCACATTCACCAGAAAGAGGCTGGCTGCAGTCCTGCAGCTACTGCTGCGGCAGCCACTCCCATCTCTACATGGCCAGTATAAATACACTGTGGGAGTCCACAATCCGCAACATCTTCATGCACAACCACCGGTACTACACAAAAGCCTGCTGTGCAGTACGGGCTCCTGTTTCCATGTGGCTCTATGCCTCTGACAGCAAGAGCACATGCTGGGTGAAGGGCAGCTTGTTCTCATTGGAGCAATGCAACCTATTCATCGTACTAAACTTGTGGACATGCTGGAGACTGAGGACTCAGAACTACGTCATACACTCGAGTCTCCAGCTATCTGCTTGAAGGCTGATGGAACTGTAGCTGGACTCTCTAAAGGCTGCCCAGATGGCAATCAACAGCTGCTGCTTTACCCTGCTGGGGTTATGGCCATTTAAAAGCCATCAGGGGGCTGGTGGGGTAGCTCAGCAGGCAAAGGCCCTTGCTGCCTAGCCTGACAACCAGGGCTCCGCCTCAGGTCCTACATGGTCGGAGGAAAAAACCGACTCTCACAAGTAGCTCTCTGACCTCCACACACTCAATTATTAAATATACTTTAAAAATCAAGAGTAAGGTCGGGTGGTGCTTGTGCACGCTCTTCATCCCAGCACCTGGGAGGCAGAAGCAGGCACATCTCTGTGAGTTCAAGGACAGTCAGGGCTACACAGTGAAACCCTGTCTCAAAAAAAAAAAAAAAAAAAAAAAAAGATTATTGTAAATTTCCTGTAGGAAATGTTACAAAATATAAATTTTAAAAGGATTTTTTTTTTTTTTTGATCCTTCCCAACCGAGACAGGGTTTCACTGTGTAGCCCTGGCCTTAAACTCACAGAGACCCATCTGCCTCTGCCTCCTGAGTGCTGAACCACCACTGCCCAACCAACTTTTTTTTAAGACAAGATCTCACTATGTAGCCCTGGCTGTCCCAAAACTCACTATGTAGACCAGGGTGGCCTCCAACTCAAAGATCCACCTGTCTCTGCTTCCCAAGTAATGGAAATAAAGGCATACATTACCATGCCCAGCAGAAAAGGACATTTTGATCCTTATATACTGAAAACACAAACAAGCAAACAAAAACCTTGTCTAGTGAACAGCACCAGTCCTAAATTATTTTACTTAAAATGACAAAAAAGTATGTAATAACTCACAAAATACAAAAACAAATGACTTGTTTTTAGACCCTAGGAAAAAGAAGGTTCAGCAAAGAACAAAAATTCAAAGATACTGTAGGTCTGCAGTTCTTTTCTGTGAAACAGATTACCATCAGCACTGTTTTGTTAACTTTAAGATTTATTTTATGTATATGAATGTTTTGCCTACATGTATGTACACATGTGTACCTGATGTCCATGGCTGTCAGAAGAGGGCAATGGATCCGCTGTAGCTAGAGTTGCAGATAATCACCATATTGGTGCTGGGAATTGAACCTAGGTCCTCTGCAAGAGCAATAAGTGCTCTTTACTGCTGGACCATTTCTCCAGCCCTCAGCTCTTTTGAAATAACTGAACTGATAACTGAGTGAGGAAAAAAATTAATTATCAAACTTTTGCTTTAATAGGCTCTTTAAACAGTAAAAAAATAGTTCTACTGGACAGCACTGACTGAGTTCCATATGTCCAAAAGGCAGTGCCAGTCTGCTCTACACAGAATTCCAGGGCAGCCTGGACTATACAGAGACTGCCAGTGTGTGTGTGTGTGTGTGTGTGTGTGTGTGTGTGTGTGAGAGAGAGAGAGAGAGAGAGAGAGAGAGAGAGAGAGAGAGAGAGAGAGAGAGAGAGAGAGAGAGAGAGATCCAAAGAAAAGAACAGACAAAGGCTAGTTTAAGTATGTACACTATGGTCTCATGTACAGTTAGGAGCTCTCTGTGTACATCAAGTCCCTAACACAAGGCTTTGAGTGGAAACCAAAATCACCACTCTGGCTCAGGAACCTGTACTCTGAAAACTCTGAAGACCTCCAACTCTTTTTTTTTTTTTTTTTTGAGTCAGAGTTTCTGTGTAGCCCTGGCTATCCTAGAACTCACAGTGCAGACCAGGCTGGCCTGGAACTCAAATCTGACTGCCTCTGAGGCCTCCTAAGCTGAGATTAAAGGCTGTGCCACTGCCCAGCTATCTAACTCTTAAGAATGAGTTTACAGCCGGGCGGTGGTGGCGCACGCCTTTAATCCCAGCACTTCCCAGCACTCGGGAGGCAGAGCCAGGCGGATCTCTGTGAGTTCGAGGCCAGCCTGGGCTACCAAGCGAGTCCCAGGAAAGGCGCAAAGCTACAAGAGAAACCCTGTCTCGAAAAACCAAAAAAAAAAAAAAAGAATGAGTTTACACTCTACACCCTAGATTAGGATTGGAGTAAGGAATGCATGGCTTTTTGTTGTTGTTATTATTACTATTTATTGTGCATACAGGCAGGATACAACTTCGAATACTGTGATTGGTTCTCTTCTGCTTTACAAAGGTCAAAGGCTCCAGGTACTGAAGCAGACAGGTTGCACAGCAACTACCTTTATATCCGAGCCATCAATGGCCCTGGTGTTGTTTTAAAGCAGGCTCTCACTCTGCAGTGTAGGCTGCCCTCAAATTCATTCCTGACTCTCAAGCCTCTAGGTGATAGGACTGCATGTGTGAGCCACTGGGCCTCATCTTTTTTTTTTTTCCTGTGAATGAGTGTTTTTCCTGTATGTATTCATATGTACCACAAGCATGCCAGAAGAAGGCATCACATCCCTTGGACCCGGAGTTAGAGATGGTTGTGAGCTGCCATATGGGTGTTAAAAACCAAATCCAGCCGGGCGGTGGTGGCGCACGCCTTTAATCCCAGCACTCGGGAGGCAGAGCCAGGCGGATCTTTGTGAGTTCGAGGCCAGCCTGGACTACCAAGTGAGTTCCAGGAAAGGCGCAAAGCTACACAGAGAAACCCTGTCTCGAAAAACCAAAAAAAAAAAAAAAAACCAAATCCAGGTCCTCTGCGAGAGCACCAAGTGTTCTTAACCACTGAGCCATCTCTCCAGTCCCATGCAGGACTCTTCAAAATGGTTTGTTTGGGGTTTACAAGTCCTCCGATGGGGTATGTATGAAAGAGAGAGAGACAGACAGGCAGACAGAGAGAGACAGAGACAGAGACAGGATGAGTCAGGCACAGGACTAGCAATGAGGAAGGAAAATTGATGCTTTTTTTTTTTCTTTTTTGGTTTTTCGAGACAGGGTTTCTCTGTATAGCTTTGCGCCTTTCCTGGAACTCGCTTTGTAGACCAGGCTGGCCTCGAACTCAGAGATCCGCCTGGCTCTGCCTCCCAAGAGTGCTGGGATTAAAGGCGTGCGCCACCACCGCCCGGCGCTTTTTTTTTTAATGGCTTATTTTTATGTTATGTGCATTGGTGTTTTGCCTGCATGTACATTTGTGTGAGTGTCAGATCCCCTGGAACTGGAGTTACAGACAGGCCTAGGAGTTCTGACCAACCTGAAGACAGAATGACTTATCTCACATAGCAATATCGTAGATCCTCTTTCTACTTCTTACCCTTCTCCCAGAAGACTGGCTAGCACTTGCACAATAATCTTGAACTACTTGAAGATTAAAAACAAGACAAATACTAGGTTTTTAATTTTGGCATAGTATGGGGGGGGTGTCGTTTTCTTTGTGGTGCTTGGGTTGAACCGAGGGCCTTGCACATGCTAGGTCTTAAGGGCTCCACTGACCTACACCCGAGACACAACCAAGTTTTAGTAACCATTAAGTGGGTACGCTATTATAAATCTACACCAGTGCACGCTTTTGATGCCAGCATTCAGGACACAGAGGTGAGCAGATCTTTGTGAGTGAATCTGAGTCCAGCCTAGTCTATAACAAAGAGCTACAAGACAGCCAGGGTGACGTAGTGAGGCCCTGTCTCAAAAGATAACTAAACAAACAAATAAATAAAACCTTAGTATATAAATCTAAACCAAGAGGCTTCTGCTTCTACCCCAATAAAGGCAATTTACATGGGGATGTGCAGTAAAGCAGTGTCTGCTGGGACTCAGGTGGCACCCAATCAAAACTCACGGTGGCAGCAGACTAGCCCCTGAGCTGTTCTTTTATCAGTATGCCAACAGCTGGTTATGCTTGGCGCTGCTGAGTCACTCCCACCAAACTGTGTGAGCCTGACCAAAAATTGTTATGTCCTCATCTGTAATAGGGAACAAGAATAGCAAAGGGCACTCTACAGTTCTTATCTACTTCTGGGGAAGCCATCTAAGACATTTGTTTCTCACGGCACAAATGCCACCTCTTGGGCCTGTGAGTTGTCCTCTCCTTTGGGGGGTAATGAGTTAAGAATGAGCTCTCTGTAGTCTCCATTTTCGTTGTTCTTGGCTTTTATAGATGCCACGCTAGAAGCACTCAGCTTTCAATAGCCTTACTAATAAGGGGCATGATCACTGTCTACAAACCAGGGCCTTGTACATGCTAGGTCTTAAGTCATACTGCCGTTTATTTTTACAGGCGCCCTGTAACTGATTAGATTCTCTCCTTTCCACCTAGGTAAAGAAAATTGCTGGACACTTATTACCCCCAAGAACAGCTGACTCCATCAGCTTCCTTATTCACTTCTGTCCTGTCTTCCTGGTCCTCTTCAAGAACCTGGGCAGATGTCATCAGAGTACAGAAACTGCTTCTCAAGTGTTCTTTTTTTGAGACGAGGTCTGGCTAGCCTGGAACTTCAAGTTGGCATCAAACTCAGAGAGATCCTCTACCTCTTGAGTGCTGGGATTAAAGACAAGTGAAACCACACTCCATCTCAAATGTTTCTTTAAAAGAATTTCTTGCTGTAGGGTGTCTCTCTCCCAATTCCTATGTAAAAACTAGGGATCTGTGGTAAGGCAGACTTCCTTGCCACCCACACACCCACCTTGTACAGCCCTCATGTTCTCTGAGCTCAACCCCTCATCTCCTAACTGAAGAACAGGATCCAGAGACAGGAAAGACACTGGAGCTCAAGAGAAAAGTGGGCAAGAAAGGTCTGTCCTCACCAAATGGCTTATTTTAAAGAAATCACCAGGAGATAGAAACACACTAAGATTCCTGTGAGTAAATTAGAGAAAAAGAATCTCCGTACAGCACAAACTCTGACTACTAGCCTACAGCACCAGATAAAAGAATCTGTTCGTGGTAGAAAATGCTGAGGGCTGTCAGATAAGGGAGATAATCCAAGAATCCAAAAAAATGGCAGTCAGCTCAGGCTTAGTGTATCTAAAGGTCCCAATCCTAAAGGTGTAACTGTAACTGGACCATAATTTCAACTTGGCCTAATTTAAATCTTTCAATAGTCTTTAATAATTGGCAAGATTATGGCTTCATGCTATCTGTACAATCAGTAAGACTAAACCTTTTGGTACTGCATCAATGCCACAGGTCAGATTATAACTCTGACAGGCACCTTATAATTTCCAATTTAGTTTGATCATCTTGTCCACACAAGTACAGGCGTTCTGCCACAATTACTATATAAACAAAACCAACAATTCAGTTCTGTCTAGGAACTCCAATTTTCAGCACTGGACCAAATAATCTCACCTCCACATTTTCAACACTGGACCAAATAACCTCAGGACGTTGGTGAGCCTCAGTCCCAAAGAATAACCATTTCAAGGAGAAGTCTTAAAAAAATGACTACATTCACAACCAATTAATGCAAGGACTAAGACACAGGGGTTGGGAGAAGGCTCAAGATTGAGAAAACGTGTTGCGGTCACAGGGAACTGAGGTTTTTTCCATCTATAACTCTAGTTCCAGAAGATTCGATGCCCTCCTCTGGCTTCCATGGACACCAGGCACGTACACACGCACGCGGTGTACATGCATACATGCAAGCAAGCAAGCACTCACATGCGTAAAAATAAATGAAATCTTTTAAAAGAGAAAATAAAAAAGCAACCCTGTGAGCCACCTGAAAGCCTGAAACTACTATGGAATAAAGAGACGTGAACCTGGATAGACTTAAATAATTAAACGCGTCTGAGTCTGTTCTTCATCAAGAAAACGGAAAAAGTACAACTTGGTGATGTACAGGTCGTCAAGCTCCGTAGTTAGGAGACTTTCTAATAAGAAAGAAAGCGGGTCCTCTTCGTTTTGAGGCAGAGCATCCCAACTTACTTCTTCCCACCTTCCTGAAGACAAAAATGAGAAGGCAAAAAGAAACCTCACCTGCATGGGGCCTAAGGCTCGCAGAGGCCGCCTGGGGCCTGAGGCCAGGCTCAGGGGAGAGGGTAGCCAGCATTAACTCGCAATGTTTTCCACCTCCCGCCTCACGGCCAAACGGCTCCTCCTCCAAACAGTTTAGAATCCTGCCTGTTAATGCCACAACCGGGTGGGTCACAACCCGCCCGGGTCCATCTGCCCTTCTGGGTTTACAAGAGATCAGGACACAGCGCTGCGGTCTGCCCTAAGCCCTCCCAGCTGCAGGGTTAAGCCCAACCCCCGCCTTTCCCCTGACCTTGGGGCGCCTGCAGCTCCCCGCCCCGTCGCGTCCCGTCCCCCCTGAGAGGCGCCTTCTTGAGGGGCTGCCTCTTCAAGCCCGGCTATTCCTCCCATCCCCCTACCCGCCTAAATTTAGAAAAGCTTTAGGTCCAGCGTCCGTCTTGGAGGACCGAACAAACCTCATTCCAAAGTGGAAAGGGCAGAAGTCGAAGAAGCAAAACAGAAAAAAAAAAAAAGAAAGAAAGACGGCGAAGGAGTTAGACCGGGATTCCGGAGAGTCACCTCTCTCGGCTACCCACAGGGTCCAGGTGACAGAGGCGGCGCAACCTTCTCCCCGCCTCCTCCGACCGCAGAGCAACGCAGACGGAGGAGCCTCGTACCATCCGGGCTCCGTGCGCCCCTCGGCTGCGTCGCGCCGATCCTCGGGCCGAGGGGCCGCGGAGAAAAGTGCGGGTCCCTTCCCTCACCTGGGGCGGAGGCGCTCGCTCATGGCAGCTGGTGAAGGCGAGCGACGCGGCGCCACTCGGCGCCGACAGCGAACAGACGGAGTTGTGTTCCGGCGACCGCCACGCCCACCCCCACGGGCCTGGGCTCTGGCCGCCGCCGCGCGGGTGGAGGCTGCGGGCGGTGAGTACCCCGCAGGCCGACCCGTACCACCGCTACTTCCGGCGTCCCCTCCGCGCCCCCCCATGTCGCAGGCGCCGTGGTACCGTCCTCCTGCGGCTGCGCAGTGGCGGGCCGCGGGCCGCGCTCGCCCGTAACCCCGCCCTCAGGAAGAGGCCCGTCCCGAGAGGGAAAACAGACCTGGAACTTCCAGGGCTCCGGGTAGGTGTCCGAGGCACCCGCCTGTTTAAAAACAATCCGGGACGAGCTGTAAAAGTCAAGCCGGGTTGGAAAAAAATTAAATTATTGGACACTAACGGATGCTTCCATCTGCGTAAAATCTCTGGGAGGTGAAAATTTTAAAGAAAAGAAAGAACCGGGCGAGCTCCATCAGGCACTGACGCGGACGGCCACAGGTTCTGGGTTCCATGGTTGGAAGGTGTTGGTGAGCTCCGGGTTCGAAGGGAGCGCCACGTGGAATTTCGCATCTCGAGAGGTGCGGAGCCGGTTCCGTGGAGTATCCAAGGGCTGGGCTGTTTTCCACGAGCTTTGTTGTAGGTCGAGAGAGGAGTGCAGACGAGGCGAACGGACTAACGGAGTCCCAGCCCCGACCGGGAGCGGTACCGCCCACCTGCTAGGAAGCAGCCGGGCAGAAAGGTGTGGGGAGGCGGGCAGGCGTGGGAACGCGGCGGTGAGAGCTGGCTCGGGGCGATGTGAGCGCGATCAGAGGAAATCACGAGGTCCCAGCCGGGCGTGCGTGGTGCGCACCTGTCATCCCAACCCTTGGGAGGTAAAGTCATCCTCGACAAGGAAACGAGTTCGAAGCCAGTCTGGGCTACTTGAGACCTTGTCTCAGATTTAAATTTTTTTATTTTATTTTTTCAAATAAGTGTATTCTGGGCCCGGGATACTTGGGGAAGTTTTAACTCTGGTTTTCAGAAGGATCCCCAGTTATCTGCCAGGGGCATAATCCAATTATTTGTATAGGACTCAGTACTTGGTCACATCACAGCTCTCCGCTTAGTTCTGATCGTTTACAGAAGTTGACGTTCAAAGTTTCTGCCAAATACGTGAACAATGATGCACAAACATGGGGGTCTTGGAGAGACGACTGCAAGAAGTCAGGCAGGAAAACGGGTCCCTTGTTGAGATGTAGGGTATAGGGCCAGGCATACTAACTCAAGTAAGTCTTTAATCCCAGCACTCCGGAGGCAGAGGCAAGCCGATCTGTGTGAGTTTAAGACCAGCCTGGTCTACCTAGAGAGTTCCAGGGCAGACAAGACTACACAGTGAGATCCCATCTCAAGAAAAATTAGGAAAAGGTACTGTTACAACTTGAAAGCTTATGGATTGGCTTTCTCGTGTGCGGTTTGCAAACGAGATTACTAACAGTAAGAATAATCACTGTGGACTCACTCCTCAGAGAACAGTTTGATTTTTGCATTTCATGAAGGATAAAGTGCTGGTTGATTTAATAGATATTTATTTTGTAAGTGGTTCCAGCTTCAGGGTTTTTTGATTTGGGGGGTGGGGGGTTGTTGTTTTGTTCTTTGGTTTTTCGAGACAGGGTTTCTTTGTATAGTCCTGGCTGTCCTGGAACTCACCAGTAGATCAGGCTGTCCTCGAACTCAAGGGGTCCACCTGCCTCTGCCTCCCGATTGCTAGGATTAAAGGCATGCACCACCACACCTGGTTATTGTTTTGTTGTGTTAATCTATTTAAGTGGTCAGGAGATATTTTCAGTCTTGGTATTAAATAGTTGTAATATACATATTTATTTACTCATTCAACAAATGTCATATACCAGCTTCAGTGTTAGAGGCTTTTTTCTGTTTGTTTTGTTTGTGTGTGTGTGTGTGTTTTAATGATGATGATGATTGTTTGAGAGATGGATGTGCAGTCCAGGTTGATATTAAACCACCTCAGCTTCCTGAGAGCATTCAGAGGTAAACAGTATGCTTGGTGATGCTAGATTTTGAGAACGTAGCTGTGCTAGGATAGATATGTTCCTTGTTCTTTGGAACCCAGCTGAGCTTTGGAATTAAACATTCTCCTTTCCCAACTCTAGAGGGTAACAGAGATAAATGATGTGTAGTAATAAATGTTTGAAAATATTTTTACATGATACACATTTATCAAAAATCTCAAACTAAGCAATTAATTACAAATTTATGTGTACACAATAAATAAATTTGTAATAAAATTACAAAATTATTTGTACACAATAATCAATTGTAGTACAAATTAAAATTAAAACAATTGGGGCCAGGTGGCACACACCTTTAATCCCAGCACTTGGGAGGCGGAGGCAGGTAGATCTCTGAGTTTGAGGCCAGCCTGGTGTGCAGAGGGAGTTCCAGGACAGGCAGAACTACAAAGGGAGACCCTGTCTCAAAAAACCAAAAATAAATAAATAAATGGGGATTATGTCCTTCTGTACATTGTTAGTTTTAATATGTATGTATTGCTGATATTAATATTAGCAGAGATTAATTTCTCCTGAGTTATGGAAACTACCCCATCCCCCATCCCCCCCCCCCTGCCCCAGCTCTCATGAATCCCAGGCTAGCTTCAATCTTTCTCTAACCAAGGCTGACCTAATTGTCCCATCTCCACTTCCAAGTGCTGGGATCATGACTCTCTACCACAGCATCAGGTTTTGTGCAGTGTTGGGGATAGAACCCAGGGCTTCATGCTTGCCAGGCAGGCGCTCTACTGACTGAACCATATCCCCAGCTGACAAAGAGAGTTCTCATGAGTCCTCATACCCAGTGAATCTTGTTTATGTAATGTTAGAAACTGTTCTAACCAGTTTTTGTAGCCCGCATGAATGTTATTATCCTTCCTCATTCCATCCTTGAAGGACAAGTTCAAGAAGAGTGAATGTGATGTATTGAAGAGTTCCTGAGAGTGGGAGAGGTTCCAAGTGAGGAATACCCACCTGGAGGTTCCTTTTATCTCTACTAAGTGTACGTATGTATATGTGCCTGCATGAGTTTGTTTATATGAGTTTATTTATACTATGTGCACACACTGCCCCAGAAGGTCAGAGGACACTAGATTCACTTACAACTAGAGTTACAGGTGGTTACTGTTAGGTCTCAAACCCAGGACAAATGGCTAAGGCGCCTGTTTAACATAACAAAGTGGACCTGTCCCATCGGTTCTCCCATCATCCTTCAGTCCCTACCTGTTACAGGGTATGGCTGGCATACCCCTTCCCCTACCCTGAACTCTCTAGCCCAGGGGATAGGCTACCCTTCTCCCAGCTGCCCTTCCCTATATAATCCAGCCATTTTGATTTCCAGGCCCTTTCATCTAATCTTTACTCTCCTGTCTCTCCCCTCTCCCCTCTCCCCTCCCCTGGCCCAGCTCAGGGTCTTGTTCACTCTGGACTGTCACAGACGTCTCTGCTTCTGGTTATGTTCTCCCTTTTATCTACAGTCAACTTTCTCTCCACCATACCTAGGAGCAGTCATGTCCTTTTTTGTCTCTTCTCTTTCACTCAGTTATGAGCTGCCTGGTGTGGGTGCTGGGAACAGAAGCCAGGTCCTCTGCAGTAGCAGTGCAGTAGGCACTCTTAACTGTCAGAGGTCTTTTTTTGGACCACCAGCTCCCAAATAATCACATGGAGACTTACTGGTTATGAAAGCTTGGCCTTAGCTTAAGCTTGTTTCAATTGGGCCGGGCGGTGGTGGCGCACGCCTTTAATCCCAGCACTCGGGAGGCAGAGCCAGGCGGATCTCTGTGATTTCGAGGCCAGCCTGGTCTCCAAAGCGAGTTCCAGGAAAGGCGCAAAGCTACACAGAGAAACCCTGTCTCGAAAAACCAAAAAAAAAAAAAAAAAAAAAAAAAAAAAAAAAAAAGCTTGTTTCAATTAGTGCTTATAACTTAACTAGTTTTTATTAGTCTATGTTTGGCCTCATGGCTCATTACCTCTCCTCAGTACTGTACTCCAACTTCCCTCACGTCTCACTAGCAAGTCTCTCACCTCGGATTCTTCCCCAAAGTTCCTCTCTCCCCGGAAGTCCTGCCTGTCCCCTCCTGCCTAGCTATTGGCCATTCAGCTCTTTATTAAACCAATCAGAAGGTGCCTTAGGCAGGTGAGGTAAAACAGAGACATCTTCACACAGTGTGATCAAATATTCTGCAACACTCAACTGCTCTTAAAAGCCCTAAGTAGTTCCTTTTTTCATGGTTAAGGGTTTTTAAACAATTTCATTAAATTTATGCAACTTCCACTTGACATAAATAACAAAATTGAATTCTGGCTGACATTTTAAATGTCTTTTCCTTTGACTAAGCATTAATTTATTAAATCTTTTGGTTTGATTTTGTTGTGGTTATTGTTTGGGGTGGGGTTGTTGTTGGGTTTTTTTTTGAGATAGTCTCACTAATGTAACTTTGCTGTCCTGGAACTATGTAGACCAGGCTGCATAGTGAATTTGAGGCCAACCTGAGCTACACACAAGAGCCTATCTTTTTTTAATTAATTAATTAATTCATTTATTTATTTCAGAGCTGAGGACCGAACCCAGGGCCTTGCGCTTGCTAGGCAGGTGCTCTACCACTGAGCTAAATCCCCAACCCTAATTTATTTATTTTTTTTAATTACACTCATGATATTCATTAATTACATTCATGATATTAATTACATTTGTGGTATTCATTGATTACATTTGCAGTATTCATTCAATAATTACATTTATGATATTCATTAATTACATTAATTGTATTGATTTATTACATTCATGATATTATGTCATGATACTACTGTCCATTTGTGGGGTTTTTCCATCACACAAAACAGAGATTCTGTACTTAGGAAATCATTGCTCTATATTCCCTTCTTCTCTGTCTTGAGATAACGTCTAATCTTTCTGTTTCTATGAATTTGAATATTCTATATATTTCATATAATACAATTCTATAGTATTTGTCCCTTTTTCAAATGTAAAATCAAGAGCCTATCTTAAGAAAAGCAAACAAGGGACTGGAGAGATGGCTCAGCGGTTAAGAGCACTGAGTGCTCTTCCACAGGACCCGGGTTCAATTCCCAGCACCCACATGGCTACTCACAACTATCTGTTCCAGAGGATCTGATGGCCTCTTCTGGCCTCTGTGGGCACCAGGCAGACATACATGCTGGGCAAAACACCCATACCCATAAAACACAATAAATAAATTAAAAAAAAAAAGAAAAAGAAATAAAAGAAAAGCAACAAAATAAAAAGTTAAAGTTAAAATCTATGCATCAAATGATGACTCTGTATTCTTCATTGTCTCTCCAGGAAGAGGATGGGTGATGCTGGTCCCAGAATGGAAGTGTGTCCTTATTGTAAGAAGCCATTTAAGCGATTAAAAACCCACTTGCCACACTGTAAGATGATATCTGCTGATCAAAAAGTGTATCAGTCCAAGCCAGCTACACTTTCACGTGCTACAAAAGCGAAGAATCCTACCAAAGACCCAACCAAAGCTAAAAGAAAAGGGCTAGAGACAGAGAGTGCAAAAGGAAACGTGAAGTCAGAAAAGGGCAGATCAGCATGGACAGCTGCCACCTTGCCCCTGACGGCGGATGTCTTGGAAAGAGCGGGTACAGCAGAGGCAGGAGGAGAAACCAGAGATCAAAACCAGCCCTCCTTCCAGGCACTCAAACATGCCACGCCAAAGGTGGCTCTGCCGAGAGTCATGGACCCTCAGGCTCGTGCGTCAGACGCCCCCTCTCCTGAGACAGAACTTGCCAGAGATGTGACTGGATCCAGGGGAAGTCCATGTCATCCCTCAGAGACCAAAGCATCTGTATGTCATCCCTCAGAGACCAAAGCATCTGTCCGGGTCGGCTCAATGGCACCAGTTTTATCTAATCAAGATAGAACATACTCCTCAGCTCAGCCTCATGCTAAACCAGCCACTTGTGCAAGTCTGAAATTGGACACACTCGATCCCCAAAGAGAGAAGCTTCTGGCAAAATTCTTAGACGTGCCTGTTAGTGATTGTCATTCTCCAAAGAATGGCAGCCACGGGGTTCAGAGAGGAGGACCCTCAGTGTTGAGCAGGGAGAGCAGTTCCCGAGACGGAGGCCACCTCTCAGGAGTCTCTCCCGACCCTGCCAATGCTGAGACTCAGCAGAAGTCAGAATCACTCCTCTCGGGCCTTCACACCACTCCACTGGCTAAAGCGCAAGTCAGAGAACGCCAGGAACTTGGCCTCGGAGCAGAAGTGTGCCACAGCAAGGGAAATACTGAGACCAGCATGTCTGCCACAGAAGTACAGGAACAGGCTGACTTAGGCCTCGGTGGTAAGGACCCCATTTCACCCACAAAGGCGAAAGCAGAGGCAGCCCTTGCACTTTTGGACGTATTTACTCCACCAGAGGGAACTTCGAATAAGCTTCTCTCTGTACCAGAATCAGGGCGCCAGTGCCTTGCCTCTCTGGCTGTGAAGTCTCCAGAAGACAAAACCCAATTCTATGGCCAGAGTCAAGTCCCTGCCATACCGCTATTAGTGGGAAGCAAGAGGGATGTTCTGGAACCCACGTCTTTCCACCAACCCCATGCAGTCCAGACAGGGTATCACATACCATCATATTCAGCTCCGTACCCTGTTTCTAGAAGCTCCCTCATCAGTCATGTTGCTGCTGCTGACTCAGAGACTCCTCCCCGGTCCGTGGGACTGGAGTGGTTTCCAGAACTCTATCCTGGTTACGTTGGTCTAGGAGTATTGCCAAGGGGGCCTCAGCATTGGAACTCAGTGTCTCACATGCCGCCTCCTACCACTTCCGAGGGTGCAAGTATCTCGAAAGGTAAGCAGGCTCATTTGCAAGGACCATCCTGCCCCTCCAGAATGCTCTGTGCTTCTGGAATGGGGTGAGAATTACTTGTTTTCATTCAGTTAACATATTTTCACCTACACAGTCTACCCAACACTTGACTTAATTGACAAAAGAGAACTCTTGGTCCAGGATTGATTGTAATGTTCCTTCTTCCTTCTCCATTGAGAGTTGAGGGTTAGACTTGGGCAGGCTACTGATCCTGATAGCAGTTGAGTTTCTGTACTGGAAAGAGGCCTAACAGAAGTTCGATGGATAAGCTCAGAGCATGGAGGCACACGCCTTTAATCCCAAGCACTTGGACACAGAGGCAGGCGATCTTTGAGTTCAAGGCCAGCCTGATGTACAGAATGAGTTCCCGGACAGCCAGGGCAACATAGTCTTGAAGAAAAAAAGAAAAAGGAAATCTGATGGGAAAGGCTGTAAGGGATTAGATTCCAGTGTTCCTGAGTGGCAGGTAGAGAAGAAAGGCCTGTGAGTGCAGAGAATGGGTTCTCTGTACTCCATCCATGATCACCCGTGATCACGGCTCAATTTCTTTCAGTCACTTACCCTAAACTTGTACCTAGAAGTGAGCCCCGCTTGGACAACTAGAGAAAATAAAAGTCATGGTACCACACAGTTCCCAGCACTTCTGAGACCACAGCCTAACAGTGGCAGTTTTTGAGAGGTTACAGTTTGTGTTTGGAATTGAAGTATATCTCCAGGCTTTATGACTTGTCTTTTTGTTGTTGTTGTTGTTGGTGGTGGTGGTGGTGGTGGTTTTCAAGTATGCGTAGATACTGGGGTAAAATGTGCACCTGAGTGCAGTGCCTGTGGAGGCCAGAAGAGGGCATCAGTTTTCCTGGAGCTGGAGTTACAGGTGGTTGTGAGCTGCTAGATGAGAGTGCTGGGAACTGAACCCAGGTCCTCTTTGAAGAGCAGTATGCATTATTTACCACTTCCGCCATCTCTCCAGCCCCATGATTTTCTTTTTCTTGTTTGGTTTTAGGAGACTTTGGCCCTGCACGAATATGTACTCTGTGATTCCTTGGATGCCAATGTTGTTTTTTTGTTTCTAAAGTTTTTTTTTTTTTAATGTGTATGTGTGGTAATGTATATATGTGTTAACTCATGTGAGTTCATGTACCATGTACACCACATGCATGCAGTTACCCATGAAAGCCAGAAGAGGGTGTCCGATCCCCAGGAACCATAGTTCAGAATGGTTACAAACACTACATGGGTGCTGGGAACCAAAACTGAGTCCTCTGCAAGAGTAACAAGTGCTCTCAACTGCTGGAGCCCTCTGTCCCAGCCCCCAATGTGTGCTTTCCATTGTTAGGTAAGAAGATCATTTGAGCACTTTTGTATCCACAGCAGCCTTCACCACACCTGCTAACCCCATCTATCTTAATTTATCCTTTTTTTGAGACAGGGTTTTTCTGTAGATGTATCCAACCTTCTTATTAAATAATAAACACAGAACCAATGCAAAGAAGAAAGCCAAGAGGTCAGAGCTAAGAGCTAAAACCTTACCCTTCCTCCTGCGGTGGTCCTACCTCTCCGAACCAGAGCTACCCCTGTGTTAAAGTCTTTATATAGAGTTCCTGTCCTGCCTTCTCATTGGTTGTAAACCCAACCACATGACCACCTCCTCACAGCCTGTCTGTATAGGCCTCCAGGTTTTCCATGATTGGTATTAAGATTAAAAGCATGTGTATTCAATAATGGCTGTATCCCTGAACACACAGAGACTTACCCAGCTCTGCCTACCAAGTGCTGGAATTACAAGCGTACGCTACCACTGCCCTGCTTTCCTATGGCTTGCTAATAGCTCTGACCCCCGGGCAACTTTATTTATTAACATACAAATAACATTTTAATACAAATAAAATATCACCATATTTCCCCTTTTCTATTTTAATAAAAAGGAAAAAAAAGAAAAAGCTTATAACTAATATAAGAAAAACTATATGCAAAAGTACAGTAACTATATACAATATATACAAGTAATAAATACCTAAACAATGTCTAGTCCATTTGTATTTGACAAATTCAGAGAAAATAATTTCATTATCTATCCTATTTTGGTAAGTCCAAAATGTATCCTAATTAATCTTCAACTATAACTAACTAACCTTCAACTATAACTAACTAATCTTCAACTCCCTCAGAGACCCAAGAAGGAAATAATATTAGCTAACAAAAATAAAAACAGGAAGTGCACATAAGCAACTTCCAAAAAATTTGTGAGTTGACAGAAACAGACAGCTGTCTGGACAGTCACCTGAGGTTTCTCCGAAGTGCTGGGGCATCATCTTCAGCCTATAGGCTTAGCATATCTGACAGACTCATTTGTGAAGTAGGATGTACACAAGGTCAACAGTTCAACCTCACATTGAGTGAGAGTAGTCCATGTACCAGAAACACCTGAATTCCACTAGTGTCATGTCATGATTCAGGATTTTAAATTCTGGAAATTGTTGATGGTTTTTTAATTCAGCTGTCCATTCTTCTTGGCTGTGTATATATGGCTTCATCTCAGCATCCCATTCTTCTCCATATCCCTCCATCAAATGCCAGTCTACTATTGAGAGGCGTGAGCTTAGTTACTCTTCAAGAATAACTGTTTCAGCTGCTGTTCCATTGCACATCAGAGGCCATCGGCCCACTGCCTGTTCAGCTGCCTTCGAAGAAAAGGGCACTGCACCTTTTTCGAATTGCGAAGGCCACTTCAGGGATGGTGCCATATTGTCCTGGCCTCTGAAGATGCCTTTTGATAAAGCCATAACCACACTTGTTTTGGCAAGAATCAGTAATCCTTTGTTTTATGTCCTGTCTGTCCATTTTGTCCTGTTGATTCGAGGATACTTTGTTGTCCAGTGGCTAACTTTTGCCACAATGAAAGTTAACTCCATATGCAGTTTCTTCAATGCCCATATTTTCTCTGAAGTAGATTGGTACTGCCAGGAGCCAACATGTCTCATAGTCATAACAAAAAAGAAAAATTTTCTAAGTTATTAAAACATTTTAAATGCCATATTCTGTAGATCTCTGAAGGGTTTGAAGATAACCTGTCTATCTAAAATATATCTACTCAATCTTGAAAACATACCTAATATAACTACAAGTTCTATTATAATATCTAACTACTAACTTTCATTTCTTTATATCCTAATAGTTGGTAATAACATTCAAGGATCAGAAAATTGCATTACATTGTTAGATGAACGGTACAATTAGAAAAATATATATAACATTTTCTAACAATATCAATTTCAATATATATAATTTGTATCCAATATAAAACAATCCAATCCAATGTAAAGTATTTACATTTTTCTTTTCTTTCTTTCTTTTTTTTTTTAATAAGAACCTTAAATCTAATCTCCTTTGCTTAGCCTTTTTCATAACCCTTGACAACAACTTGTAACCAACCCCCCTAATCAATGAAAATTATCCCAGACCCAAAACCCATTAATAAGACCAAAAAAACCAACCGCCCCACACCACCTCTTTGGGAATGTGGGCGTCGTATTCTTGAAATTGCTTCCTGCTGGGTATGGGCGAAGGTATCTTTATCCTGAAAGACAAATTTTAGGTTAATTGTCAAATTCTAGGAAAGGTAAATATATCCTTCGTTATCCAGTCTGCGTATAATGCCAAAATTCAGGGTTTATCTCAAATCCTTATTCAAGTAGTCTTTGAGACTGGATCATCTCAGCTAGCTCTTCTCAAAATTGCTCTGAGCACTTTGTAGTTCAAAGCTGATCTGTAGATGATGTTTGTCAGCTTAGTGATGTTATTATTTTCCACATGGAATTGTTGTTGTTGTGGGGCCCCATCTTCTTCCTGGAGACTTCAGTTGATGTTAGTCCTAACCGTGATTTCCTGCAAAAAACTGATAAGAGACTCGAACACAAAGACTATATATGCGACTTTTTAGAATTAGTTAGTACTCTATATGACCATTTATATCTTAACAAAGTTTAAAATGTATATATATCTATATATATTGATCTTGTAAATTTTGATATAAAATTCATACTTTAAGAAAAGTTTAGAGAATCAGAATAGAATCAAAGAGTTGAGATTAGTAATAGAATAGTCCCTTAATTAATTTGGCTTTTCTCCTGTTCCATAGCAGAAGATGGCTCTTTTATTCTGGCATGATACAGGGAGTTTGCATTTTCCTTTTAACAACATGCTTGAGTTTAAAGAAGGAGAGAGCCATTCTCCAACTCCAAAGTCAGCTTTAAATTTTAATTGAACTGGGACTATTAGAAGTTAAATAGTGTTAAATCTTTAAAGAAAAGCAGAAACAAACATTTAGGAAGACATAAAATTTTTTTTAGATAACATACCCATACGCCATTTCACTCTGTTTCTTAGGATAGATGATTTGTCCCTTTTCTTCAGTTGTCTCATTTGTCCAGTGTTCTTCAAATTCCTTAACCTTCATTCTCCTAAAAGACAAAAACAAAAACCTTTCCCCAAGGTTTTTTGGGGATGTTCCTTTTTGACAAGTTATCTGATTAAATGAAAAGGCATATGTTACTGGTGTAAGTTAGTTTAAATTGGATGTTTACGATAGTTGATGAACCATCACCTCCTCTAATTTAAGAGGTGTCTCTTGTTCAAATCGAACCTTTATCAATTTTGATGGTACCCACAGCTTATCTTCTCCTGTAGAAATAAAAGCAAAACCTCGTCCCCAATGTAACACATATCCTGGTTTCCATTCTGAGGTCAGCACATCCTTAAAGTATATAGGTTGATTTAATTCTGTAGTTTTTTCTATTATCCAATGTCTCTCTGCAGCTGTTGTTCCTTTCTCATTGGCATTGAGAAAATTCAAAGTTAATAGAGCATTATGTAGTCTATTTCTGGGGGTTTTTGTTACTCCTTTTTGTTTATTTAGCATATCCTTTAGGGTTCTGTTTGATCTTTCTATAACTGCTTGACCTGTAGGATTATGTGGTATACCTGTA